TCAACTGTTTTAAAACTTGCTCTGTTATCGCAGGAGTATGGAGACCAAATGAGGTTTTACTTGGTCTCGGTAATGTGTGCACAATATTGTTCACTGAAGCAAAAGACCTGCTGAGCTCATTGATTTCTCGTGAGACCGTAGTAGGTCAAGTTGGCCGACCACAGAGCAACTTCCGCCCATTCCGTAGCTGATGGCAGGACTTACTTCCTATCACGGTGTCAACAAACACTTACTTTAGATAGGCTATCCGACTTCTGATATGACAGATTTGACAGTCAGCTTATCTGTTGCGCGATGAGCCTTCTCCTTCAACCCACGTCATCTTATCACACCATTAGGGATGAGCCGGTTTGTCTGTAAAGGAATTCTAACATAAAAACAGCATATATCATAACAANCTAACTTGCAAAATTTTCATCGAAAACTGAAACGTTGGGATCAAAAAGAAGTTGAAAGTCCGAATAAGTAGCCATTAGTGTTTAGTGTCAATGCGGTGTATTTTTGATGAAATTCTAAGTGCCGGCCTTACATACCTATCATACCAGAATACTGTGCTTATTACCTTACCTTATTACTTTCCGGTCTTGAAGTTCAGATTGCTGACCGTTCTCAATTTCCTATCAAGTTCGCTTGTTTTCCCATCGAATCGTTAGTAGCACACCCGATAAGATGCAGTCTAACAGTTACCGATAAAGTATTGCTGAATTTTGTTATCAGCAGAACAGAATAACTATGAAGTAAAACGCCTAATTCTATTTTAAATCAGCGGGAAAAAATCAGTCTACTATGTGCGTAAGCATTTAGTAGTCCAACATTAATGATTAAGTTGTTCTACCTGTGCAATGTTTCAGTTATGTGCTGCATAGGATTTTCACTTTGTGCAATCGTATTTGTCAACGGTTGTTTCTGGGCCCCGGTATATACATTTTTTACCATCACCACCCCGCTAAATGAGCTTAGGTCGTGAGGCCCCACATCGTTAGTTCAGAATTGTAATATACCCAAACCGAAGTGTATGCTCACCGGGTGTGTCCAGCCTTGCATGAGTGACAACCCTAAGAAGGTCAGACAGGTGTATATTTTCTCTGGTTTAACCCCCCCTCCCCACACTTTTATGTGTTCTTTAAAGTTCACATGTTTCTAAGAGTGTAGGTTGTCTGGCGTACAATCCATCTGAAAATTCGTCAAGTAGTGCCATGAGATTCTCAGGTATTTTAGTATTTGAAGCTGGACGGTGATCAAGTGAACCAATTGGTTCAAGAGTACAGGTAGTTGTCAATGATATGATCGGCGTGGGAGGGAGTGGAGCGTGCGAATGGACGAACTATAGAAATGGCTTATACCCGAATTTCATGCGCATCACCGCTTAAGAACACTCACATAAATAACTTGATCATCCAGCCTCACTCTAATGAATCATTGATGGGGTCAGTTCTGGGGGAAAACAGATCAGAAATTGTAATATAATTGGTTGGAAAGTTTGAGGACTGCTTTGAATGATGAATGGGACTCTATGCCACAGAGAAATATCGCGATGGATACCAATTATGAGTTAACGGGAGATTGCCGTAGTGTCATCAAAAGTTGGGGAGGGGTTGTATATGTATCAATGGTGTAAGTGATACGCTGCAGCTTGATAAACAGTTTTAGCAGACGTTAAATTGTGTTCGACCGCTTGAGCAGACCGATCCAGTATAGGTACCAAACATACTGCTTTCAGTTGCCACCACTTCTTATTTGGTAACAGGTTTTATCTTAGTCTTATTCATTGTTCTACTCAACTAGCACACACCGTTGTGGCATATTCAGTCATCAATAGTTTTTTTCTTTCAGGGAGATCGTATGCCGAGAGAGACATTTTTCGCGTGCACACATATTAGAGGCTTTTAGAGTAGTACTCACCGACTTGGCGATCATCTGGTCAGATATTTGCCACCCCAGAAGTACGCCCCGTGTATTCCTTTGAACTGGCAAATCATCAGAATCGTGTAGTTTAATTACTGGGTATTATTTTTCAAATCCTTATGTATTCACTTCTTTATCTGTGTGCACACCGTGGCTATCATGGTTTAAGGGATCCAAGGCCTAAGAGGTGTGGCAATAGTTGTCGGTTCGTTGTAACCTTGTGAATTGCACCCCTCGTTTCATTTTTATTTTTGCACCATCAGTTACTGAAGGAGAAGTATCGGGGAATCCGCCGACTTCGTCGAGACGGGAATTGTTTCTATCGTGCATTTGGTTTCGCCTACATGGAACATCTGTTGACTGGAAAACGGATCAAGGAGGCTGCACGGTAGATTTCACTATTAATTTTTCTGGTTGATCACTTCTGGTGGTCTTTATCGGTTGTTCGTCAGTCTGCAAATGAGCCTCCAGATTTTTTGGAGACTATTCTCTTTTTTTCCCAACTCAGTTCGATAAAGTGTGAGATTCTCGGTACTGTTTTACAGGTTTCATAAAATTTGAACTACTGTATCATTGAGTATAACAACATTGAAGATCACTAGTACGATATGTGTTGCTGTAGCTGGCATCGCGTTGCAAGCATTGATACATTACTTCTCGCCGTGACATTATCGATGTGGATAGCCGAATAACTCGCTTCACAGTATTATATATTTCAACGTCTGTTATCATCGCTAACTGTCGGTGCCACATGAGAGGTTGCAGGAATTCTTTATTCAAATTCGGTTTCTATGGACTTACCACTTACATTACTTCTTTGTTCAAGCACAGAATTAACTAATTGCATTTTAGATGAATCATTCCTTATGCCTATTTTACAGTTATCTTTATGCTGAAGGAGTTAACCTTTTTAACGTAAATCATGCTTGCCGTGCAATAGGAAAAGCCTATTTAATGTCAGTGTCCGTGGTAGTCAAGCGGTTTGAATCGGAATCACAGAGTGCTCTGGCTCCAGTAGTCGTAAGTTAGCACTCTGCCGCTGCCACCTAACTTTGATGATCGGCAGCTTCACTGTCATATGGCGAGATACCGCGTGGAGAGGCTGTTCTAACGTACAAATAGCGATAGGGCCGGGCAAACCTTAGACCGTGAGCCAAACGAAACGTACGGTAGGGCTGACCACGAGCAGAAACTGTAGCAACCCAGTGACTGAGTGAGTAGAACACGAATACACTCAGACTGCGGTCCCCAGCGCAATTCCCAATGAACCGCCCCGCGAGAGTAGTACGAACCCGGAACCCAGCCAGCCAGAAGACGAAAGACAGGCCATCAGTGGAGGTTGTGTGTTTGGCTCAACCCAAACTGTGGCTGTGGACAATTCCTCTGCTTCAATACGGGCGAGCAATAACCCGGACGGGCTTCCCCCCACACACTCTTTTGAAAATGGTGAGTGATGAACTCGTAGATTCCGGTACTGATCTAATGCGTGACATCTGGTCACGAACACATTCCATCATCCTGGAGCGAATCACTGATTGTTTCAATTTTTAAGAAAGGATCTGTCAACGACTGCGCAAACCACCGTGGAATAAGTTTACTCCCAGTCGTAACCAGGTTACTAGCCTCCATCATACTTCGACGTCTAGCACCGTTTAGAGAGACAAATATCCGCGGAACAACAAGCAGGATTTCGACCAGGCTGCGGTTGTATCGACCAAATCTTTTGCGAACTTCACTTTTCACCTCCTCGTACCTATAGCGCTTACGCAGCGAGTACATACTGCGAACGCAGGCTATTAATGAGCACTTCGACAGGAGCCGGGGACGCTGAAGTCCGTTTCCCGACACAACCATACTGGGATATGTAACTGACGGATAGCACTCCGTTTCGCAGAGATTTTTCTATTGAACGTCAGACATATTTACCGTTCATCGTTTTCATCTCCATTTTCACGCACTATCAGCTTTTTTTAAGTGTCTGTGCTTATCCTTTGACTCAACGCGAGATGGCGGTGGCGGAGATGGTGAAGGTGAATAATACCATTTCCTCAAGCAAAACAAAAATGGTCTTACTTAGCTATTCTGTGCCAGGACTCATCTAATGGATTAAACGAATAATTTTTAGGATGCGCAAGTTGCAATAGATTCCACCAGATAAATTTCTCACTGTTCTCAAATCCTGAAATGTTTTTTGTCGTGGCTTTCACTCCATTTTGAATAGCTTAAAACGAAAATGTGACGATTGCCGTGATACTCTTCTATCGTTGGGCTACACACAATTCACTGTGGAAGATTTTCACGAGCAAGTAAGTAAACCCAAAGTAATTTCTGTCAGATAGTTTGATGTTTCACGGCGTGTTTGCCAGCCGGAAACGATCCTCGAATTCATGTGTGTCTCGTTTTGCTCGGTGAAGTCTTTGTTCAGTCCTTGAGTAAACATATGTTCGCTACCTACATTAAGGTTTTAGATCGTTTTTTTTATTACACACGCTAGCGTGGTGAACAACAGACGGGGCAAACTCTATAGTCACGAAGACCTGCTGTTCATAGATGGAAACCGGCAACCTATGCCTCGGGTGTGGACTGAAAAACCACATAACGCCCGGGTAGGTTAGGTATGTTAACAGCAAAGCTGCCTAGCACTAAAGACGGTGGCGAAGCTCCAACCTCGAACCATAGGATCTAAAACACGCTGGTGACAGCGACTAAGACGCTACGCCAGCACCACCCGGGTCGAAACGAATGCGATTCAAAATGATTTGTGGTTAGTCACTATCAGAGTTTCACGAAGAATTAGATTGCAGCTCTATTCTGGTTGGTACTACATTTTAAATTGTTGCAAAATAGCGTCTCTTAGTGCTTAGTGTATCGTGCACAGTAACCCAATCGCACTTAAGTCGCCTGCGATAGGGGATTATAAAACGATGAATTTATAATGATTTTATTATCGGTGTCTTGGTTTCCAAGCTGTTATCGCTTCTGTCATGTCTCAGGGGTTTTCAATTATTTGATTTATTGTCACCATGTTCAATCTTTCGTACCCGTTTCTCTTTAGTTTAAATTCAAAAGTTGGCTCATGCTTGCCATCAGTACCGAACCGCTGTCACGAATGTTTTGAACTGAATATCCTCCCACTCACTCGTCAACTGATTGGTAAACCTCTTAGCGGCATCCGAGCTTTATCTCCGTCGCCTCTTCATATCCTGTCTCCACCTCATCAGTGGATCTCCGCATAAATCCCCTACCCAGGAGTGGCAACTACAGACAGTGCTCGATGCAGTGAAGAACTGCCAGTTATGTGCAGCACGTGACCTAATCATTAAAGCTTATTCATTCTTGTGTTTTGACTAAAATTTTACCTTTTACCTCATACACCCACTGATAAAATATCTGGGATACGCGTTAGAACATTTGGAAGAGTCGACTTCTTTCTCA